CAAGTAGAAATTTTTTACTGTTTTGAAAAAAAAACATACCATCATTGACTCGGTAACATAAGTTACACTTCCATCTCCTTTGATCAAGAAAGCTGACAAAAGGGTTGATGTACGTCCTGCATGAACGGCATCTCACAATTGTACTGGAGGTAACCACAGGCAATTGCTGAAAAAACAGGACTAATTTTTTAAAGGCAGTGATCATCATAACTAAAGGTCAAACATTAATCATACCTTCTAAGAGAGTACTGGGATGTTGTTACTTTGGAGAAAAAATCTAGGGTAAAAAGATATTCCCAAAGTACCACACAAAAAAATTACGTAGCAAAATATATTGATTTAAAATCCTATTGTTTTTCTCTGAGACTAGTCTCTTAAATTTTACCTTTTAAAAGTATTTATTTTCTCATTAAACATTTACATTGCAAAACCAACATAGTAAATTTACCATGTATTTTTGAGATGGGTAGCAAAGAAAAGACCAACATTCTAAAATAAATAACCAATGAAATATTTGGAAGTATCTTCATGTTACATTAAGAGGCTAAGTTCTCATGAAAGAACTGTCACAAAGTAAGGTAAAGTTAAATTATATTTAAATACAAACTTTGCAATTATGTTCCTATTTGAAGTTATCCTACATATTAAAAGTTGTAAAGTCTTAATGTTAAAAAAGAAAAAAAATCAGTAAAGGCAATACAATCCTATCACCAAAAGAGGTTTGTTTTGGGAAAGTCAATTCACTTAAACATTGATCCTCTCAAGAGCATGTAGTCATACGTGAAGGACCCAGAGCTTTAGGACAAAAGTGGAAGAGCTTTATTTTTTTTAACAGCTTCTTAAAGCAAGAAATTTTACTCCAAGAATGGCAAAACTGGGAGACCGGGTAAATTTATTTTAATGGGTAAATAATTTATAACTTTTTAAAATAATATGGTTCATTTATTTTCTTTCAATATTATCTCTATTCTATTCGGTACTTCTTGAATTTTTCAGCAATATGCTTATTTTACCTCATTTTGAATGTGTTCGACAATAAGATTCTTGGTTGAATTACAAAGGAATCTGTCAATAGTCAAATTCCTAAAGATAGCTTAAACAAATCCTATATGTGACACTCACACTTTTATAGAAAAGTTCTCACCACCAAGATAATTTTCCACAAGACATTTACTTTTACTAGTGAAACATACCACTAGGTCTTTGAAAGGATGAAGCAGCAGTCCCAAAGGAAGTTTGGCTTTATTCAGTAAGGCCTGAGTCTGAGGAATGCTAGTCAGCGTGCATCGAAATAATCTATATTAAAGTAAAAATCATGTGTCAGTTGTTGCTATGATTATTTTTGGGCAAAAAAAAAAAAAAGATTGAAAAGGTACACATTTTAACATTGGATCAGAACAAATAAAATATTTCAACAGGCCCTCTCTCAAATTTTATCCCATTTAAACATTTCAGAGACAGTCAAAAGTTACAACCTTCTATTATATAATTAAAATAAAGACTCTGCTCGTGCCTGAGACAGTCCAGACTATCAAATGACCTACTGTTTTTCTTTACACAAATCTAGATTATACTGAAATAACAAGGTGATGACCCAAATTTCCAAATGCAAAGTTTAGCTTTGCTGAAGGTTCTAAAAGATTATTTAAATGTAACAAAATTCACCATAAAAATTTAAACTTACAGTCAATTTTAAGGGAAAAAAAGAATATTACGTTTGTTATGAAAAACAATTAAAAATGAGAGCAAACAAAGGATTATATAGAATCAAATCCCCATACTTTGGACTTTGAAAAAACAGTGTAGCTACTAAAATGATAATGAATAACAGAGTCTCATTAGAGCTTACAAGGGTAGCAATCAACCCTATTTCTGGACTTAGAACATTTTGAATATCACATAAGCAACCAACACAGTTCTGTCTTCTGCATACAGCACTACTTTTATAAATTAACATATCTGTACAACTTGTTCATAACACATGAAGCTCCAAAAAAATCTGGAAAACTTTTTTTAGAACAAGTAAAATGTCACATTTAGTAAGGAACGCTGTTTGAAGCCTTACTCAGGGTTACAGTTGAGTTTCTGGATATCTTCATGCAAATTTGGAACTGGAGGCTGCAAAGGTGTTGATGGTAGCATGTTTCTTTCTTGAAGAAGATTGACAACTCTTAGCCCTTCTGGCTGTAGACTTAATCCACTCATGCTTGCAGTTAAATGATTAGCACCTAAAGGAGTCTAAAAACATAATTTCAAATTAAGTAGGCTTTACATGCCTTCGGTTGAAAACCGAAGTATATAAGAACTTGATTACTTAATTGCTCTATAAATAACAAAACTTTATTTTTTGTTCTGGAGATACGTAACAGAACAAAAGCCTTATGAAACATCCATTATCATTCTAATTGGTTAAAAATGTTCATTAACTTCCTAAAACTTTTCCATGTATATACAGTTTAAAACAAAAAGTGGAAAACAAGTTAAAAAAAAATCTTACCTGAGTAAAGGTCTGTGGCCCACTTGGGTAATTCAAGGAAGAGGGTGGCATTCCGATTGTGCTAGGTGGTGTTGTGTTCTGATAACCAGGTGGTAAGGAGGGATATGAATATCCAACACTTCGGCTTACTGTAGGATTCTTATTAGTAAGCTGTGGTGTTGCTAGAAACAAGGTAACTTATAAGTTCTATTTTATACCTCAGAATACTTTAAGTCAACACATAGATACATTAAATTATAGGAATTATAACTCCGAAATCCTTGGGTTATTTCATACTTTCATTTACCAATTCTGTAAAATAAGACAAACACTAGTAACAAAATAATAGCAATGATTAAAATCTAGCTAATGCAGACTCTATAGCTACAAACACAAAAATAAGTTTGGTATAATTTTACTTCCATATGTACTAAACTTTGTATTCAGACTAAAATTCTAATTCAAAACAACTTAATGAAAACATACTAAATGTTCAATTGATTAAATAAATATAAATAAATCTAACAGATGAAAATACACTATAGTCATAACATAATATTAAAACCCATGATCTCAATTCTGAGGGGAAAGAAAAAACTAATGAAAAAAATTTGAATGCACGGACATAAAAAAAAAAAATGCTAACAGTAGGTATTGCTACAGGATATGATTATGAAGATTTCCTGTTTCCTAAAATGAACACATATTAAAAAAAAACTTTCACAGCATCTCACCTAAGAAGCCACCGCCTTCGATTTCATCATAACTATTGTGAACCATCATAGATCCATTGTTGCTATTTGATGTAATACCTAAGAAGAAAGTTTATTAACAATATTTAAATTAGAACAATTGTTACAATTTTTGCAAGATTTGAGCTAATGTCTAAAATTTAAGATCGCTTTGCAACTCAACAACAAAAAAACCAAATAATCTAATTAAAAAATAGGCAGAAGACCTCAACAAATACTTCTCCAAAAAGAAAATACAGATGGCTAACAGACATATGAAAAGATGATCAAAGTCGCTAATCATCAGAGAAATGCAAATAAAAACCACAATGAGATATCACCTCACATCTGTCAGAATGGCTATCATCAATAAATCAAGTGTTGGCAAGAACGCGGAGAAAAGGGAACCCTTAAACATTGTTGGTGGGATTGCAAATTGGTACAGCTGCTATGGAAAACAGCATGGAGGTCTCTCGAAAAATTAAAAATCGATATACCTTTTGACTGAACAACAGCACTTCTGGGTAATTATCAAAACAAAAACAAAAACACAATAATTTGTAAAAAGA